ATCTATATAAAAATTTATCCGAAAGTTTTTCTGCACTAAGTAAAATTGTTTTGCTTAAAATGGAATTAATTTTATATAAAAATATGAAACTAATAAATGGTTTTCATTCTCTTCAAGATGTTTATAAGTCTGTTAAACGTTACATCAATTTTGTACGGTGCTTCTTTATTGCAGGAGATTAATTAATCTGACGCCGAGGTGGATGGCGAGATTAATCATAAACGAACTATAAGGGGAAAATCGTTTAATCCGCGAAAGAATCAATTAAATTAATGGTAATTACCGTAACATCGTACAGATTTTTTCATGTCTCTGGGCGTGCGATTATTAATGGCCCGACTCACTATCCTGTCTGTCTGTCCGTCCGTCCGTCCTTGTAATTGCCGTGCGATGTAAATGAGATTAGATTCAATTTCGATGGTATTCAGTTTGGGTAATCGCATCAATGGATAGACCAGACTTTTCAGAGGCACGATGACCCAATCAGAATGCATTATTCATGAGGGGCCCCCAGATTGACCAAAAACAGAGATCGTTCTGTGTCCCAGAAGCTGTAGGCCATGATAAACTGTTTAACGGTACCTTTTCACATCACCGTTGCAAGGAGCGTTCCGACAAAGTCCATTTAAAGGCCGAAAACAAAAACGAAACGAACTCATTTATTTATTGCCGGATGAAAATCTGTGTCAACATATTTATGGAAATTTTGTTATTGCTTTTTTAACACTGTACGTAATTATTCAGTAAGTTTTTTTTTGTTTCCTGTTTTTCATTAACGTTTTATGTTAAATAATGTAAATTGTATTCTGCATTAGAGACATTGTAAGAATGCTTTTATTTTTGGAGTAAATTAACTTTAATAACTGAGTAACAATTATTGTTTTTATAGACAAAAAGATTGTAAGAAAATATTACTAAACAAAATTATTTTTTAATAAATAAACTGTATTCTCTTCTACTTCTACTTGACTATTAGTCTTTTTTTGTGCAGTTTTAAAGTCCTCGATTAGTCCGGTTTCAAACAGTTGGCGGATTACCTCGCCTAGTGCAGATAATTGTTGTAAAATGATTTGATTTGATTATTTCTCAACTATTAAAAAACAATATGTGTAGTTTAATTCATGTAAAGAATTATTTATATTTGTTTATGTATAAAATTATTGGAAGAGTTAAGTTTAAGTTGAATGCGATTTGAATGTATTAGTGGATAGGTTTACATCAGTAAATTGCGAATGGAAGCGAGGATGGAGATGTAGTGTTCGCGTTTTGTTCGAATCCTTTCATTTTGTATTTATTTAGAGCACATTTTCCATAAATCAGATCCGTGCGCAACGGAATGGTCTGTATGTGCGGAATAAAAGAGCACTTTAACATTCCGCTGCGGCAAAAGCACGGTAAAAGAGTCTGTCGGGTCAATCGTGAGATCACGTTCGAGCCTTTGTCTTCTCTTATATATATACGTATTATATATTATATATATGCACACACACTTTACGGTTTCTAGTCTGGAGACGGTAGTTGAATAAAATAATCCCTTTTGCACTTGCTAATCCGGACCATACTTTTGTAGCTGCTCGGTATATAACATAGATGATGGAGAGAGAATGGGAACGCGCAGAGAGCAGAACTGGATTGAATTTGCATACAACTCACCGATATTAAATTGGCTACATGCGCTTTAATATTTATGTTATCCTACGAAAACATAGAGTCCGGATAATAAAGTTGCAGTCCGAACGGTTTCGCATGCATCAAGATCGGAGCTTCGTTTTTATTTTCCTGTTATTACGAGCTCCTTCCTCTGGTCATTCACCATTCCCTCTAACGTTCATCCGCAGAAGAACGTGTTTTAATTGTGAGCATTTCGTAAAGGCCATCTTCTGCGTTTCGGTTTGCAACGCTCCTCAACATCTTTCTACAATTTTTATGATTGCTTCTAATCCAGTTCGTTGTGAAACGCCGCGGTGTGTAAATAGGATGAGGAGACTGGTAGTGTTGTAGTAAGTGAGTAAGGTGAGTCGGTTAGGGTCCAATGGCCTTAGAATGCACACATGCCAGTTTTGACCCATGACCCTGACCATCTCGGAGTGGAGAGACCATTATGTTGGCAACTCGCTTCCAATCGATTCCACTTTATGTATGCATTGTGCTGTTGCCGTACCAGGCGAAACAGACCAGCCGATTCCTATCAATCCCAAAACAACATCTCCATTTATTCCTTCTACTCGACGGTTTTTCTCTCAGGAAATCGCGAAGAATCCGAGCGTGTCGCGATGACTGCGCAACAAAACCCATCTCCACGAGAGTAGAGAATCCGTCATGGGAAGAACGACAATGGCGGCAGTTGGATATAAAAAAAAACTGCATGTGTACCACGCATTGTGTCCGTAATATTCAATTATAAAACATTAAACCAATTTCTTCTTCAATCATCTGTCAAACCGCAGAAAGAATCACCGGTGAATGAATTCAGGGAGGCGGATGAATTAAGAACAAGAAAAAAATAAGTAGAAAACGACTTATAGAACAATGCTCGCACTGTAATTCAATGTAGTAGAAGAAGACTATAATTCTCAATTACTTCTTTTCTTTAACACGTAACGTGCATCTATTACAGTTCGTTTCCCGCGTCATTACAATAATTATATTGGCCGTAAATAAAAAGCATGAACTTCCCACGAAGACCATCACCATCCGCGTATTAATTAACCAGACTCATCCAACATCTTATTGATTTTTTTTTTGCTTTCAGTTTTGTTTCACTATAAATCAGGTCTGTAATTATATTGCGTGTTCTTTTACACGTATGTCTTTAAATCCAATATAAATTTTCCATAAATTCTCATTAAATATACGTTTAACCAGCAACCAAGGTAAAATATAATTTACTTAAATTTAAATTATTTATTAATATTTGAGACAAAAAGTTTGAAAATACTCAAGTCTATGAATTATTGAGTATATCAAAGATTAGTTACATAATCTAAATAATTATATAATGTTTATAAATAATAGAAGTATCTAATAGTTTATTATTTATAAATAATAGAAATATCTAATAGTTTATTTCGGTATATATTTTTTTCCTTAACGCTTGTAATAAAATAAATGTGAATTACTTTCTGAAAATATTTCTATTTCTATCATATTAAAAATGATGCAAAACATGTCATTATATCAAGATATTTAATGTATACTTATTATACAAATAATAATTTTTTATACTTATGTAAGAACAGAAAATATGTGAATGCGAAACTCTCTAATAGCTATAAAAATATCTAATAATTCATTCGTAAAACGGTTGCAAGTGACGGACGCTGTCATATTTCATCTCGAGTGGAACTAATCTTCACGTGAGCCGGATCCGCACGATGAAAATTTAATTTCCAATTTTCGAAATAAAACCGCTCGCGATTTTAGTTCATGCGCCTCCTGGCAATTTTCAATTATGCAACGGTGTGCGGAACTTCCACACAGAAAACTATATGCGTTTTACTTCTATATCATTTCCTTTTTCTTTCAGTCTCCGAAGCAGGTGTTCCAACTTTGCAATTCCTGGAATTTAATTTGCTTTTTCTTTTATTGAATTCAATTCGTTCTGTACCTTTGTTTATATTAAATCATACAAAAGTTTTATTTCATTTTGTATAGTTTTTTGCAATAGCAATTTAAAAGATTTGATTGAATTTGTATAAACAGGCACTTAAAAAAGTTGTGTTTCCATTTTTGTAATAGTAATATTAAATTATAGGTTTTGATTGAGCTTGTGCATAAATTGAAGCTTATTGAAATAATCATTAGTTATTAAATCAATATGATTATGAATGATTATTACGTGTTTAAATATCAATTTAATACTGTATTAAATGATAATAGCAGAGTCGGGGCAATGAAATGACGTGTGTGCGTATAGTTATGTAATCAGCGGTTTTTTTTTCCTCCTTTTTGCGAGCTTTGCCGATGGAAAATCTAATAACAGTATTTGTGTGCTGGAATGCTGAAGGCATAAAGGAGAAAGTGCCGGGTGGATTGTTTATGAAGCACGAGACAGGGACTGAGGAGCAGGACCTTCGCCTTGCTCGAGAAGGAGACAAGGTGAAGAACAAACAAAACGAAAAAAGGCTGTAACCGTTATGATAAATAAATGCGTCGAGAGCGATCATCTCTAGATACAATTAATAATAGGAATACATTTACTAATGGTTTCTTGGCATTGCATGTGAGACGTCGTCTCGGTTTAGTGATTAATAGAGACAAAGGCTTGAAAACATACGATGCGTATCGTGCCGCGAAAATAGTTTCGATTTCGTGGAATATGCTCGGAATGCATTTGAATAAATGCATGCGGAATGCGCAGCGATAATTTTCTTTTTGCGTACTTTGGATGCGTATGCAAATCCGAAGCCTTTGTCTGCTCCGGTTGCGATAACTCCATTGTCCGCATAAGCGGCGAGACCAGGTCAAGAAAGCTCTAACTCCTTTTTTTGTAAACAGGGAAGTCCGCATCCACAAGTTGTCGACGTGGCATAGCTAGCAGAGCTTCATGCAAATTTGAGCAGTTTTATTTTTCCACTGAACAAAACATCTTGAACCATATGCGCTATGAAACCAGGAAGGATGTAACATGATGCAATGAACGCATCGATCAATTAGTTCCTTATTATGGTGTGTTAATTTAAAATAACGCACTTAGGAAAAGAAATACAGTTACCTTTACGCGAGATGCAATTACACATGACTCAATTACATTAATTCAAATTGCATCGATCCATTTTGCGACTTCCTCAAGAACAGCTTCTTAGCATATTGGAAATCTGCATAGATGCAGATTCAAATTTAATGAAGCCTCATGCTTACATTATGCGGATGTTATAAGACATGCTTTACCTAAGAAATAATATAGAAATCTCTGCTTGTGTATCAAACAATAATGTTACTTCAAACATATTCGAATCAATTATTTTATATTTCTAATAATTTTTTCTTTTATTCCAGATGGGGATCAAGACTTTAATCGTGTTCTCTCTAGTCCTTAGTATAAAAGCATCTGCAGGTATGTTGAATTTATTTTCTATTTTCAAGCTTATTTATAACATAAACATTTACTCAAAAAATAACTAATGTTTTTAATTAAAAAAATAATATCCTGTAATGGAATTTTCAAATTTATTTAACAGTTTACATTTTGAACTTGCTAATGTTTGTAATGCAAATGCAAGAGAAAGAGAATAAACATTTAATTTAGTTAATTGTTTTATTAAGAGTGACGGTCACGGGCATTTGATTAAATTGAATGAAAAGGTTTCAATTTATTATCTTTCTTCTGTGTATGATGCGTGGTTCCGCCAAAAATAATAGTTTACCGTTTCGTTTTGCAGCGAGGATAGCTTTCGAAAAGTTGACGGACTTCGACTACCGAGGTAATACCTACTACAGCGTGAAGAATCTGTCGTTATACGAGTGTCAAGGATGGTGTCGTGAGGAGGTCGACTGCCAGGCTGCAGCTTTCAGTTTCGTCTTAAATCCTCTGATACCGAAGCAGGAGACTCTGTGCCAACTGCAGAATGAAACATCTGCAAACAATCCGAGCGCGACGCCGCAACGCTCCGTGAACATGTATTACATGACCAAAATGCAATTGCGCTCGGACAATGTCTGCTTGCGCCCTTGGTCCTTCGAAAGGGTTCCCAATAAAATGATCAGAGGATTAGACAACGCCTTGATTTATACTTCTACTAAGGAAGCCTGTCTCGCGGCATGCTTGAATGAGGTGAGCTTGATGGAGTAGCATTGCGTTCATCGACATTTCATTAATGATGATGATATTCCTTTTGTAGCACCGCTTCACTTGCCGCTCCGTCGAGTACAACTACGTTACTCTGCAATGCCAACTCAGTGATTCGGATCGTCGCACTACAAGCCAGTACGTGCAATTCGTCGATGCCCAAGGTGTGGACTACTTCGAGAATCTCTGTTTGAAAGGAAACCAGGCTTGTAAGGGTAACAGGGTGTTCCAGAATCCTAGGATTGGAGTTGCTGATGATAAGGTTGCGCAATATGCGGGTCTTCAGTACTACACCGACAAGGAGCTGCAAGTTACTACCGAATCCGCTTGTCGTTTGGCTTGCGAAATAGAGAACGAATTCTTGTGTCGCTCTTACTTGTATAAGGGTACCCCACAGGGAGCTCAATACAACTGTCAATTGTTCCACTTGGATCATAAAACATTGCCAGATGGTCCGAGCACTTACTTGAACGCTGAGAGGCCACTAATTGATAACGGCGAACGCATCGGATCGTACTTCGAGAACATTTGCGAGAGTAAGCAATATTATTAAATGCTTGTAATAATGTGTAAATTAATTAATTAATTTGATTAGAATCGGTGGGTGGCGGTCCATCGGGCGCACCCTCGGATAATTCACTCCCAGTCGTGTTCGAAGCTACCGAGGATCCAACTTTGAACAACTTAACGAGGAGCGATGCGAACTGCGATAAGACCGGCACTTGTTACGATGGTAATCTTCGTTTCATGTAGATTCTTTTTATTTTGTTTTTGTATTCCCGCTGCGGCTCCGCTAACGTGCAATAATTTCTGTAATAGTATCCGTGAACTGCAAGGACACCAAGATCGCTGTACAAGTTAAAACGAACAAGCCCTTCAACGGTAGGATTTACGCGCTCGGCCGCTCTGAGACCTGTAACATTAACGTGGAGAACAGCGATCTCTTCAGACTCGATTTAACTATGACCGGACAAGACTGCAACACGCAATCCGTGGTTGGTACAAAGAGAACCCCAACACCCATCCGATCTCAAACCACCTCTACTTTCATTTTCCAGGTCGGAGTTTATAGTAACACCGTCGTGCTCCAACACCATAACGTCGTCATGACCAAAGCGGATAAGATTTACAAAGTCAAGTGCACCTACGACATGTCCTCGAAGAACATTACGTTCGGTATGATGCCTATCCGCGACCACGAGATGATCAGCATCACCTCCGCTCCTGAAGCTCCACCACCAAGGATCCGCATCTTGGACAGCAGAGCTCGCGAAGTCGAAACCGTTCGCATTGGAGACAAACTCACATTCAGAATTGAAATTCCAGAAGATAGTAAGATTCTAAAACTATACCTTCGATTATTTATTAAATAATATTATATATTTCAGCTCCTTACGGAATTTTCGCCCGCAGCTGCGTTGCCATGGCTAAAGACTCGAAGTCAACATTCCAGATCATCAACGACGATGGATGTCCAGTTGATCCCAACATCTTCCCAGCCTTCACCGCCGATGGAAATGCCCTGCAATCAGTTTACGAAGCTTTCAGATTCACAGAATCCTACGGTGTTATTTTCCAGTGTAACGTTAAATATTGCTTGGGACCATGCGAACCGGCCATTTGCGAATGGGGACACGAATCTTTGGAATCCCTTGGCAGAAGGAAGAGGTCCGTGAACAACGCAACTGACGAAGAAAAGGAAGAGGATATGACTCTCAGCCAAGAAATTTTGGTCCTCGATTTTGGAGATGATAAACAACCCGATGACTTGAAGAGCAGTTCCCCAAGCGCGTATTACGGTAAATCATTATAAACAAACAAACTTAAATCCAATATTAATAATAAAAAAATTCTATTCATTACAGACAAGAGTGTCACCATCATAGAACCATGCCCAACGAAAACTTCAGTGTTAGCCTTAGGAGTAACCTGCGCCCTTTTGGTCTTGCTGTACATCAGCACGGTGTTCTGTTACTACATGAAGAAGTGGCTGAATCCTAACAAGCACATCGCTTGAAGAGTGCTCTTCGAATTATCTAATTAGCGTCAGAACATTATTATTTTTATATTATTATTATTCGATAACGACTTAAGAGTATACTCCATTATTTTTTTGTTCGTGGTGCTTTAACTGTAATCGTAAAACGAATCGCAACTTTTTTTTTGACCTTTCTATCGAGTTACCGCCCGTGAAGGAGGGGATCGGTAACTGGATCAGAGATGCCAGAATATATGTTTTGGGGGTTGCCAACAATCCCACAAACTTGAAGACTCAATACTCCTGATTAAACTTAATGTTATGTTTGTAAGTTTCTGGGGCGGTGGCAGTCTACAAAACACGGTGATGGGTGCTTGAGCTCTTTTCTTGACGTTCTCGCTGTTACAAGAGGTTTTGAAAATAAAAAAATATTGATCTCGGTGATTGCCGTTGTTGACGCTCACTAAATTCGTATTCAGAATTCCAGTATAACAGTTGATAAAAATACTTTTGTAACAGCGCGAATTCGAAACAGGTAGCGTTAGCTAACTTTTAGTATAATATTTATTTATTTTGTTTCATGTAAATATTTGAAATTATTTAATAATTTTAGACACAACTGCCTTATAAAAGAAATATTTTGTATTTTAATAAAGTAATAATTAATATAATAAAACTGTGTCTCTTTATTATTATAAGATAAATAGAAACATCATTGATTCTCTAACAAAGTCAAACGTTGCTGCGTGAGCAGAGCTACGTCCACCATAGCTTCCGGTAACAGCAATTCAGCAACGGCATATTTCTTGGATTCTTCAAATGCAAATAAGATGCTTGTATCGAATAGCATCATTTTACTTTGAGCCAAAGCCAATATGCAATTTCTGATCCTAGCTATAATTTCCCTTTCCTCTATCGGAACGATATACTCAAGATTTTGAATAAACCCACCGACACTTTCTTCCTCAGTATTTACTGTTGGACAAATCCATATAAAACCGTTGTTACCCAAAATGACGCTAGCCCCAACTGAAAGATTATGAAAACGGGTTTTGCTGCGTTTAATCAGAGCCGGAAACACTTTAATTAAAACTCCTTGAGATAACTAAAAAAAATATAGAACAAATAAAGAAACATGTTTGAATTAATAATATCTCTTTATACCTTTCCATATTTTAAACTTCTTGTATGAAGTGATAGGGAGCCATCAGTAAACACATTTTGTACTTCAGCACTAATCAAATCACCTTCTTGTAAGTACTTCCGCATCATATGTTCATCCTCAGCTGACCTTCTCCTCTAAATTAAATTATAGATAAATACAATTTATTTATTTAAAAAAAACTCACCAATTCACCACCAGGCAAATTAACTGATGATAAGAGTAATACTGAGTCCAACCTTGAATTGGTTTCTACTTTCCAACGTCTTTGTTGAACCTCTGTTATTCTTCCAACAACAACATCACCAATCTCACCATTGTATCTACTCTTTAATGGTTTTATGGAAATCAACTTGTTTACTTCTTCCTTCAATCCAGCTACGGAAGACTTTAAACAACCATCTTCTTCATATGTTCCATGTCCTCTAAAACAACACAATACAATATAAATAATAAAATAAACACATTTATAAATTGCTCTCACCGCATCAACTCATTCTGTTCAGTTATAACTTCACCAGGTGTGTAAATCTTGGGAACTCTCTGATTTAAAGCCACTGAAGGATTAACACGATCTGAGGCAATGCCAATATGAATTTTGTTAGACATGTTTCTATGTTATTGTAAGTAGTTTAAGAAACTAACCTCTTTAACCTGAAATAACAACACAAGGTCAAGAAATATTAAATGTTAATAACTATCATAAATAATTACCATGTAAAAATATCAACTACTCAGTTTAGGAACAAAATTATTTATTAATGAAATAAACTTTTAAAAGCATATCTTCATGCTATGTATGATACAAATAAAGAAGGTAAGATAGAAATCTGTTTCATTTTCATAATGTTGTTATCCGGATATATGCATATATGTGGACTTTGTCGTTAACAGCAACCAATAAACATTTAAAAAAATATATAATATCTCTCTGTAAATATATTTATAAAAAATAAAAATGAAATTCTTAACAAGGGGAACCAAGATTTATGAAAAATCACACAGATGGCGCAGTCATCGAATCTTAGTTCAATGGCAGCTGTAAGCATGGCGCCACTAGTATCATTCTTTAAATTTTGATTTTGTTTTACAAAGTTTATTGAATGCGAAATATGTTTTTCAGTGGAAAATTTAAAAAACCAAAAGCGATGATTGTTAAACCTTTTCTTCGTTCCATTCTGACTATAATTAACCTCTGAATATGAAGTTGTGCAACATATCCTATTCGTTAATCGAGGTATAACAATATATAGTTAATAGTAACGTGGAAAACTAGTGTTCCAGCAACGAAGAAAGCTTTCTAGGACATCTATATTAATGCCTGCTATTATACTGATTTATACTTAGAGATTACATCAAGTGTATTTATACATTACTAGAGGATGCCAGTGGTAATAAATCTTTCGTATAGACAGTATACAAAAATATATGAAAATAGTATTTCCTTATTTTCTTGTTTTTAATTAACTCAAAACTAAATTAATTAGTGTAATATTGTGTGTTAAAACAAATTAACAATTACGTAATTTCGTTGTAGTTTTTAGACATATTGTAAATAAATAATGAATGAGGTAAAAAATAGGCTAATAAGTAAATTTGTAACAATTTGTTAAAGTTTACAAATATATGTCAAAAGAAGCAAAAAAAAGATGTTAGAAATTTATGTTATTAAAAAACGAGTTTGGTTGGAATTATTTCCAATACATTTATTAAATTACAAGATGGTATAAATTATAACAATATGGTCGTTTTGCCAAAAATAAAATGCAAATGCAATAACAAAATATAGTATGATTTTAAAATAGTCGCTTCTCATAGCTAAATAAACTATGCACGTTTCCTTCCAGTTGCGCAGAATGCGTTCTTCTTTCAAATTTCAATTCTCCCTCGTACATCAACCTCCTGAAATTGACAGTTTTTAATATTTTATATAATTATTTAGAAGGTCGATGATTACCTTAGTTCGCTTAATGACATAGTTCCAATATCTTGGAGACCGTGCCTGATACCACACTGTAAATATGGCATGAATCTGTGGATAGATCCTTTATCGACAATTGTGCCGCTGACTCCTTGTGCGACTTTCATTTTATCCATCTCGCTGTAAAGAAACATAAATGATTATAAACATAAATTTATCGATTGTTAGGTTCAACTTACTTGTGGTAGTACCGGTTCATCGCAGAACCCATTGCGTCTTTCCTGTCCATTGCTTCGAGACTACCCATTCCTCTATAATTCTTCAACCTGACTCCATCTGAGAAAAAGTATTCCCCTGGGGCTTCGGAAGTGCCCGCCAACAATGATCCCATCATAACTGAAGAATATAGAATTTAGAGATGTTCATTTTCAAATCATCAAAATTTATACCTGTAGATGCGCCCAATGATAGCGCTTTGGTAATATGTCCAATACTCTGTATACCACCATCGGCAATTATGGGAACGCCAAAGTTCTTTGAAAATTCCGCAACCTTATATACAGCAGTTGCTTGTGGTCGACCCACGGCCATCACCTCTTGTGTTATGCAGATGCTTCCGCTGCCCATGCCTACTCTCAAAGCGTCAACTCCTGCTTCAATCAAGTTTTTTGCTTGTTTAATTGTGACTACATTGCCACCGATAACTTGAATATTTTTGTAGGTTTCCTTGATGAACTTAATCATGTCAATTTGGTATACAGAATTTCCTTGTGACGAATCCAAGACTACGACGTCAACACCAGCTTGGGCAAGTATGCTCAAACGTATTTTATCCTCAGGCCTAGTACCGATGGCGGCCCCAACGATGAGTTGCTTATTCTCATCCTTCGATGCAAACGGATAATTACGAGCTTTCTTTAAGTCGGTGCGCGCCATCAACGCTACCAAATTACCTTTTTCATCAACGATTGGCAGTTTTCCTTTCTTGCTCTTTTCGAGAATAACATTAGCCTGTGACAAATTAAGACCCGCTTGTCCAGTTATTAAATCCGTAGTCATCACTTGATCCAAAGTGATCTTTGTGTAGTCTGATGTACCTTCCTTGAAATCGATATCACGGGATGTCACAATTCCCACCAATTTTCCCCCAAGTTTGCCAGTGTCGGTAATTGGAATACCGCTGAATCCTTTTTCTTTTTTTACGTTAAGCACATCTTGAACTGTATTAGTTGTACACAGAACTACTGGATCATGGATGAACCCATGCTTGTATTTTTTTACCTTTTTTACCTCATTGGCCTGGTATTCTGGCAAGCAATTGTGATGGATAATACCAATTCCTCCACAAAGAGCCATAGCAATGGCCATGTCAGATTCAGTAACTGTGTCCATTGGAGAAGAAACTAGTGGTGCTTTTAATGTTATTTTTTTGGTCAACTGAGATGATAAATCCTATAAAACAAATAATATATATATAATTATATAAAATAAAATAACATAATGACATAAAAATACTTACCACTTGGTCAGCAGAAAAGTTAATATATCCTGGTAAAATTATGAAATCACTAAAAAAAATAAATATTGACAATCAATAATGAATTGAAAAGTTATATAAATTATTTATATAAATTACTTGTAGGTAAGGCCATTGCCAGATGTGATCATCTCTTTGGCAGTCATGCCATCTTCAGGTAAATTGTTCATATCACTGTTGGACATCTGAAATGTGTGAATTTGCAATGTTATCAAATATTCCTTGAATAAATAAACAAAATTTTATATATAGTAATGTTTACCAAATTTAGATATAAACAGTACAGTGGAACCTCGCTTAACGAGTTTAATCCGTTCCAAAATTTCCGGATTTTTACTCGTATAGTGAAATATACTCGTATAGTAAAACATATTAAAAAATACACATATGTGTACACAAGATTTAAAAATGATATAGCAGGCGCACCATCTGGGACTTCTCTTCATCGTCACTCATTATGCAAAACGTCGCTTGTTAAGCCAGTCATTTTTTGTTAAGCGAGGTTCCACTGTATATCCAGTAAATAAGCGATTCTGCTTTACCGGCCCAAACGGTTTGCCTGCTGCGAGAAAATTTTTGGGGACGCCTATGAAAAGGTGAGTGAAACGTCAAATATCTTAAGTCAATTACAAACTTTAACACTTTGAGCGGCAATTTCTTTTGTAAAATATGCATAAATTATGTCATTTTTCGTTAAGCGAGGTTCCACTGTATATCCAGTAAATAAGCGATTCTGCTTTACCGGCCCAAACGGTTTGCCTGCTGCGAGAAATTTTTTGGGGACGCCTATGGAAAGATGAGTGAAACGTCAAATATCCTAAGTGAAATACAAACTTTAACACTTTGAGCGGCAATTTCTTTTGTAAAATATGCATAAATTATGTCACAATATTTTATATATTACGTATTATTCTAAATTACTTCAAGAATAATTGAAAAATATATAAGAAATGTATTGGCGTTTAAATTGTATTTGACGTAAGATATTTGAGGTTATACTTAGTCAATATCAGTGGCGTACAAAGCGACTAAACTTTTATACATAATTTATGACCCACCGATGTTAATGTCAACACGTAAAGCACGCGGAGCTCTAAAGTTTTACTAAGTAACGGTTGTTCCACGTGCTGATGAGGTTATATTAAGATTCAGTAACATTGAAATTCTTAAGAAAAAATACGATTTAAAAACACGTACCTTGTTATAATTTTAAAAAGTAACACTCTTATTTTAGTCAAACGATTAAAATTATTTAAAAAACTGAACGTTTCTTGTGTACTTAACAACGTTCGTGTCTATAATGTGAGGTTGCGCGATAGTTTATGGCAGGTACATTTCAGTATATTTAGAGAGCGCGTGGTGAACAATCATACCAGTGTTGCCAATAGTTAAAAAACATAGAAATAAGCAAGACTAAACCAGATGGTTATTCAAAACTTCCTTTCAAATATTATTCGTTACTTAAGAGTATTGGGTTATATGTTTTAATCTTTTATTTATAAAAATATATCAATAATATCAGTCTTTTTAAAAGACCTGCTTTTTTTTCTCTCTTTTCAAAACTATAACTTGGGAATGTCTACTTCATTATTTCATAATATATGTAATGATATTAATCTAATTTGAAAAGGCTACATTTGAAGTTATACAAATCATAATCGTTGATTATTATTTTTTTTTACATAGAAAAATCAACATAAAATTGGATTACGTCTTATGGTCCGAAAAATACCAGACTTCAATGAAAAAAAAAACATTTGATTTGTATTTAAATTTAATAGTTTACAAGTTTGGCTGTTTAATATTGATTACGTGTTTTATACAATTGATGGAATTTACATTATCTTCTGTTTAGCTTTAAGTCAACCCCACAATTGTAAAACTTTTTTTCTTTAAAAAAAAAAAACATCACCATGTATATATTAATGTTTCTGGCTAAATGAGCCCAAGCTCACATATATGCCTTTAAATGTCTGAAAGTTTTTTCTTTGCATTTGCAGAAAAGAAGTATATCTTTGTTCATTTGTATTAATTCCCTGGATCAATCATAAATTTCTGTAAATGGGTAATTCCAATCAGTTTGTCTCCATTCCTCCCACATATTTCTGTTTTTTTCAGTATGTTCATACAAATCATTAACATATTCTCTGCTTTGCTCATAATCTATATGTAAATTCACAGTAAAGAATATATCATAAAATATCATTTTCAATTGTTGTGTAGACTGCACAAGTTGACTAATGGGTAGATGACTTTCTGCTAGGTTTCATTGATTAGATTCATTAGATTACTACAGTTTATATAATCTTAATACAGTTTTACAAGGTATATCTTCAATAGAA